GCTCTCTTGCTGAAATCATAGGACAACCATAGGAACCTTAAGAATTCGGACAAATCCAGCGATTTCACGTCATCGCGCGGTGCACTCGCGATGCTCTGTCATGCACCCAGGCCGCGAATCCTGTGCAAAAAATACCACGCGGGCGAGTTGCGCGCGCGTCGCCGCGAGCGCATGCTCAAATCCTTCTAGAGTCGTCGCCGTCATTGGCACCGTCGCATGGACGTCCTGTCGTCCACGTCGCAGAATGCATGGCACGAATGGGACCCGGCTTACCGGGCCGTTCTCGACACGGCCACCTCTGGCTTCCTGCGGTGTACCGGGCCATTCTCGACTCGTCTGGCAATGCGTGCGCGGCATTCAACACGCGCTCGCCAGTTCCCGTCGGCAACCGCCATCGCGGCCGCATCAGCTGTCCCAAACCGGCTGACCGGTGTGACTTCGGCCCCCAGTTGTGCCAGCTTTGCTTCTTACGTTGTGGGAGGGCGGGTGGGACTGGGCATGCCATGCTTGACTCGGTCGAGCTGGCTAGCTTGACTCCTACTCCTACTCCTACTCTTACTCCCTTTCCCGTTCCCATTCCTACTCCTCCTCCCTCCTCCTCCTCCTCCTCCTCCTCCTCCTCCAACTCCTCCTCCTCCTCCTCCTCCTCCTCCTCCTCCTCCTCCTCCTATTCCCCCTCCTCCACCTCCTCCTCCTCCTCCCTCCTCCTCATTCCTCCTCCTCCTCCTCCTCCTCCTCCTCTTCCCTCCTCCTCCTCCTCTCCCCATCCGCCTCCGCCTCCTCCGCCGCCTCCTCCTCCTCCTGCCTTCTGCTTCCTCGCTCCTCCTCCTCCTCCTCCTCCAACTCCTCCTTCTACTCCGCCTCCTCCACCTCCTCCACCTCCTCCTCCTCCTCCTCCTCCTCCTCCTCCCTCCTCCTCCTCCTCCTCTTCCTCCTCCTCCTTCCTCCTCCTCCCTCCTCCTCCTCCTCCTCTTGCCTTCTCCTCCTCCTCCTCCTCGTCCCCCTCCGCCTCCTCCTCCCTCCTCCTCCTCCTCCTCCTCCTCCTCCTCCTCCCTGCTCCTGCTCCTTCCTGCTCCTCCTCCCCTCCTCCTCCTCCCTCCTCCTCCGCCGCCTCCTCCCTCCTCCTCCTTATCCTCCTCCTCCTCCCTCTCTCCTACCTCCCCCCCTCCTCCATCCTCCTCCCTGCTCCCTCCTCCTCTCTCCTACCTCCCTGCTCCCTCCTCCTCCTCCTCCCTCCTCCTCCTCCCTGCTCCCTCCTCCTCCTCCTCCTCCTCCTCCTCCTCCTCCTCATTCTCCTGCTCTTCAGCCTCTCCCCCCCTCACGGGAATCGCGTCGAACATTGCCAATCGACGCCGTCTCGGGGCCCAGGCGTCGGGAGGTCAAACACATGTTTCTGGATCTGGGATACGCGGTGGGGAGGCAGGGCGGCGGGGGTTCAAGCAGTTTCTCGGACACCAGAAAAGGGGGAGGAGGAAGAAGGCAGGAGGCAGTGCATTGCATTGCATTGCATTGCATTGTGTTGGATTGTGTTACGCTGTGTTGCACTGTATTGCATTGAATCGCATCGTGTTGCATTGCATTCCGTTGCGTTGCATTGCGTTGGAGCGCATTTCATTGCAACGGTTTGCAGTGCATTGCTTTGCATTCGCATTTGAAATAGTTTGCGTTGCCCTGGGTTGCGGGCGAGGGGGGGGAGGGGAAGATAGGGAAGGCGGAGAACTGAAGGATGTAGAAAGGAGGGGAGGAAGGCGGTGTGACGAGGGAGGAGGAGGAGGAGTGAGGAAGGGGGAGGCCCGAGGGGGGAAGAAGGAGGGAGGATGGCGGACAGGGTAAGGAGAAGGACGATGAGCAAGAAGGGGTAGTAGTGTTGCTCGCTCCTCTGGCTCGTCTCATCGTCGACGTCGTCTTCGTCGTGCCATACTCCCCCGCCGCGTCGCACGACACGAGGCGGAGTGCAATCACGTTATCCAGAGTCTTCTGTGATCTGTACACGGCGAGTAGGAGTAGAATCGTATTTGTCTTTAGACACCGCGACGCTGCTACGTGACGGGTAAAGTGGAATAGTATTTGTTCATCCGCCCAGGCATAGCCATACGACACGCATGATCGACGTCATCATCAGCGACATCATCAACTCATACTCATCATCACACTCGTGATCATCTTCATCGTCATCGTAGTCATCATCAACATTACCATCAACACCATGGGTACTGTCATGATGATCATTACCACCATCCATGGTTGCCATGATCAGCACCATCATCAACACCATCATCAGCATGAGTATCATCATCAGAATCAGCATCAGCATCATTCTCAACACCACAACCACCATCATCAGCAGCATCACCATCATCAGCAACATCACCATCATCATCATCATCATCATCATCATCATCATCATCATCATCAACATTCCTGCACATCATGATCGTGTCCGAATGATCCTCACCGTCGAACTGCCCGACGCATCCAGAAACCCTTGAGCACGCCGAAGGGGATGTAAAAACCCGGAATGCTCAAACTTTCGAGCGTCAGCCCGCCACGGCCTCCTGAATCCTCCGACCCAGCACCACTTCCACTCCCCAACCCGTCATTTCAGCGTTTGAAGCGAGATCTGGAGTTTCACCAGCAAATAGGTTTGGGGTCAAGGCTACTTGCTGGCTTGAGCCAAAGTCACCGGGTGACCAACCAAAGGCTCCACAGTAGCGCGAGTTCCCAATGCCACGGAGGCATTTCCCTGTCTTGAAAGAAGCAGGCCTTAGGAAATGATTTCATGTAAAACTAGGATTGCACTGGCTTTGCCGTGGTGCAGAATGAATTGGTTGACCACTGCCCAGCCCAAAAAAGCACTTGTCAGCAAAGAGGCCCTCCTCAGGATTTGGGACTCGGCCCAGCCTCTCTGGAGGAAGGCCCATGGAACTCGAGTCGGGGGCCCCTTAGGCGTGCAGTTCTGGTGCTGAGTCGAGCGGGCTGGAAAGCTCTAGGCCCACTTGAGTGGACAGATCATGAGCGCGAGGGTTGGCGAAACGCCACCAGCCCTTCTCGCGGGCCAGTTCGAGATTGGCATCCAGCGTGCACGTGAAATCTCTTCAGCCACCAAGTTAGGCAATCCTCCAGGGCACGGGGACACCCTCGACCTCGTCCGAGACAAGGTGCGGCTAAAGGCCCGAGGTTCAAGCAGGCAGGCTAAGTGTCTGATGAGGGGATGTGCAGTGCAGTGCAGTGCGGACTGAAGAAAAGGGACGCTTGGCGGGGTACGTGACAGACGGGTTGTGCTCGTGTGGAAGCGTCGGCACGCTGCAACACAGACCCTGCAGTTGCACCAGGCCCGGCGTGCAGCATGCGCGTGCGGAAGCTGGTGGTGCGCCTGCATTTTTCGCTGCGGCTCTCGAGGAACCAACACTTGAAATGGTTACTCGCGGAATGTGCGTGCACAATCAACCCGTAGAATAAGGACGCACGACAAGGATGCAAGGGCCTTGAAAGGCCATCTCGACACTTTGCGAGCGGGGTGCGGCCAGCGAAAGCAGCCCATCAAGGGCCGACGGGGAAGGATGCAAGGGTAGCCTGGGAAAGTCGCTCATCATCACTATGCGGGTTGACTGTACCCCAACGGTGCGCTGCCCAAACCGCCCACGTCGGCCGAGGTTGAGATTGTTTGACGTCTCGGGCACACCACTGGAGATGGACCCCGAGAAGGTTGCCGATCTGTCGGCCGAGCCTGTGCTGAGGCGACTGTTGGACGGCTCCTACTCCAAACCCCCATCAGAACTTTGCAAGGGGCTGGATGGTCTTTAGTGGTTCATCCTGCCAGTTGGCAGGAGCCAGAGCCGAATGCCATCATGCGTGGGGTCGTCCACAGCCCTTGTCTCAGACGCCCGCGATGTCTGAGCACGTGAATATCGCAGATGGCAAGAAGACTAGCTGTCTGTGGTGCAGATTGCATGGCGCAAATCGAAGCGTGCAGCAGCAGCTGACAGCCTCAAGCAATTTCGCAGGGATAGGAAAGCTTGCTCATTCCCTCGACGGCACGGAGTGGATCCAGCAGGTGAGGCATGTCAAAGCCCACAGGTCCAAAGAGGTCGTTGACAGTCTGCTGCAGCTCGAGAGCTTTTGCGAGTTCGATCGTCTACCCCCATGCGAAGATAGATGTGCAGCGCCATGATACTGCTGACCCTAGTTTTCTCCAGAGCCTGCCTCTGGCAGAGGAGAGGGCCAACAACTTTTCTGCGAGCTGGTTGCGAGTGTTCTGCCGCTCCGAGACCCATCCCAGGTGGACCCGTGCCCAGACCAAGCGCGGCCACAGGTCGCGGAGGAGAGTCGACTGGCACGAGCGGTCCGTCGGCGAAGCAGGGTGGCGGGGCGCCAAGTGCCTGCGGCCAGGAGGGATACCCGCCTGCGCCCAGAAGCTTCTCTCGGTATCGATTAACCGATCCCCATTTCCAGCGACGTGGCCTGGGCCCCACTGGCCGATTTGCCCCCCTAGATGGGGATGTAGGCCGTATCCTTCGGGTTTCGAGGGGTGCATCCCCAACTGGGGGGTAATTTGGTGGGAGTCTCGAAGGGGATGGGGATGGGGATGGGGGTCGGTCAAACGGTACTGAGGCATACCCGCCTGCGCCCAGACGCGTCTCGAGGATCCCCAAGGGCACCTCGTCGTCGCGGCTGGCGCAGCTCGGAGGACCCGCTCGGGCTCGGCTCGCGGCACCCGTGCGGAGCAGAGCTGGGTGTGCGCTGAAGAGGCATGTGCCGGGGGGGAGCGAAAGGGGGGGGTAGCAAAGGGCAGGGTAGAGAATCAGCTAACGTAGCTGATTTCCCCGGCGCCTCGGGGAATGGGCCCGGCGGCGGGGCCGAGACCACCTGCATGCAGCAGGTGTCGTACACCCCCCCCTTTCCCTATCCCCCCCTTTCGTTCGGCCCGAATGTGGG